TAATGATGAGCTGGCAGGCTGTACTCCTCGCCGCCGAGGTCGCTCCTCTCCCTTCCGCCCCTCTCTCCCTCCCTCTCCCTCTCTCCCTCTCTCTCTCTCTCTCTCTCTCTCTCTCTCTCTCTCTCTCCCCCTCTCTCTCTCTTGCGGGTGGACAGCGCATCGGCAGAGGAGTACGCGCGCACCGGGACCGCCGGGGCGGCGGTAGACGAAGACGAGTTGCGTGATCTGGAACAGGATGACCACGACGCCAAAGTGTTTTCGGCCTGCACCGACGGCCTTGACGGCGACCTTCGTGACCCCGACCGACCCCGCCACCGCAACCACAGGCCAGACGGATTTACCTTTTGGAAAAAACTTGATAGGAATAATTGCTAGTTAATTGAAGGAATGAATGCTAAGGAGGGCTTGCTTGACGTCAATCAGGGCCTTGACAAGGGCGGGGCGGGGCGTCGCAGTCCGTCCCTTGGGGGGCCTCTGCCGTCTCAGGCTCTTGGCCGTCGCATCCTTTCGGCTGTGTCACAGCCTCTCGACCGTGTCTCAGCCTCTCACCCGTCTGAACCTCTCGTCCGTCTCAGTCTCTCACTCAGTCTTATGGTGCTTCTCAGCCTCGTCTAAGTCTCTCAGCCGTCTGAGCCTCTCTCAGCCGGTAGAGCCTACGTTCCAGAGCCGCCGTCTCAGCCCCGTGTCTCAGGCCTCTCGGCCGTTCGGTCTCTAGTTTCGAGTCACGTCTCAGCCTCTCGGCGTTGTCTCAGCCTCTCAGCCGTATCTAAGTCTCTCAGCCGTGTCTCAGAGCCTCTCGACGGTCTCAGCCTCTCGGCGTTGTCTCAGCCTCTCAGCCGTATCTAAGTCTCTCAGCCGTGTCTCAGAGCCTCTCACGGTCTCAGCTCTCGGCGTTGTCTCAGCCTCTCAGCCGTGTCTAAGTCTCTCAGCCGTGTCTCAGAGCCTCTCGACGGTCTCAGCCTCTCGGCGTTGTCTCAGCCTCTCAGCCGTATCTAAGTCTCTCAGCCGTGTCTCAGAGCCTCTCGACGGTCTCAGCCTCTCGGCGTTTTCTCAGCCTCTCAGCCGTGTCTAAGTCTCTCAGCCGTGTCTCAGAGCCTCTCGACGGTCTCAGCCTCTCGGCGTTTTCTCAGCCTCTCAGCCGTGTCTAAGTCTCTCAGCCGTGTCTCAGAGCCTCTCGACGGTCTCAGCCTCTCGGCGTTTTCTCAGCCTCTCAGCCGTGTCTAAGTCTCTCAGCCGTGTCTCAGAGCCTCTCGACGGTCTCAGCCTCTCGGCGTTGTCTCAGCCTCTCAGCCGTGTCTAAGTCTCTCAGCCGTGTCTCAGAGCCTCTCAACGGTCTCAGCCTCTCGGCGTTGTCTCAGCCTCTCAGCCGTGTCTAAGTCTCTCAGCCGTGTCTCAGAGCCTCTCAACGGTCTCAGACTCTCGGCGTTTTCTCAGCCTCTCAGCCGTGTCTAAGTCTCTCAGCCGTGTCTCAGAGCCTCTCGACGGTCTCAGACTCTCGGCGTTGTCTCAGCCTCTCAGCCGTGTCTAAGTCTCTCAGCCGTGTCTCAGAGCCTCTCACGGTCTCAGCCTCTCGGCGTTTCTCAGCCTCTCAGCCGTGTCTAAGTCTCTCAGCCGTGTCTCAGAGCCTCTCAACGGTCTCAGCCTCTCGGCGTTTTCTCAGCCTCTCAGCCGTGTCTAAGTCTCTCAGCCGTGTCTCAGAGCCTCTCAACGGTCTCAGACTCTCGGCGTTTTCTCAGCCTCTCAGCCGTGTCTAAGTCTCTCAGCCGTCTGAGCCTCCGTCGACCGTGTCTCAGAGCATCTGGGCCGTCTCAGCCTCCCGGCGTTGTCTCAGCCTTCTCAGCCTCTCTGCCGTGACCGTGACCTTTACCCCGCAGGCCTCGGCCGCGCGACGCCGTGCCGGGTGGTCCCGTAACGAGGGGGCGTGGCTGAGATCTACGCGAATCCGGCCGAAGTGATAATGGCCCTGGCCGTGGCGGCCGCGCCTCCGCGGCGACACCGTCCTCCCCGTGATGGATGGGGGCATGGGGGCCGCCGAGGCAGGCCGGCCGGGGCGTCTTCTCCGTCGTTTATTTGGCTGCAGTTTACATTGCGGTGCATCCTCCCCGAGCTCGCCTCGCCGAGGGCAGCGGGCCAGTTCATCAGGCGGCCAGCCGACGCCGTGCTCCTCGAAACCAACAACTGGTAAACGACCAGCAGACTGATTCCGAGAGTCGTTCTCGTCGCTCTGCCTCTCTCGCACCCCCACGGGACGCCTCATGAGCGCGGGACGGACAGAGCGACGAAAACGACTCTCGGAATCAGTCTGCAGCTGCAGCGCGGAGCGTCTTCGAGGCCCTCGAGGCCGCCCTCGCCAAGGTCGCCGAGGCCGTCAAGGTCGCGATGCAGCGCGGAAATAAATGGCTCGGTCCCCGTAACGTGCAATGCGACACCGGGAATTAGGTTCGCCGCTACTGGCGGGGCTAATCTGGCTGGACGCCTTCGGAGGCTGGAGCGAAAAAGGGCGCGAAAAAAAAATGCAGTCATGAATTGACCGTGAACGACGGCGGCAAGCTGGAATTTCCACAAGGGGTTCGCTGCAACTTCTTGCCCTCATCATTGCACGCGTCCAGCCTGCACTTACGCCCACTCACTTAGATTTTAGCCAGAAAACGCCTGTATGTCGGCAAGTTGTGAGACAAAGTACGCGAAAAGCACAGCTGAGTTGAGAGCAAACTCACTACTCCGATACTCAATTGTACAAAATTTTAGTCAGTGGCAGACCCATTGAATTTCGACGAATTTCAACGTCGTCTTCTTCTTCTCTTCTTCTTCTTCTTCTTCTTCTTCTTCTTCTTCTTCTTCTTCTTCTTCTTCTTCTTCTTCTTCTTCTTCTTCTTCTTCTTCTTCTTCTTCTAGTCATGGGGTGAATAAGTAGACTTGCACTTTTGCGTATAGTTTTCGATGAGATTTAGGTGAAATTCGCTTGAGTTAATAACATTTATTCGAGCCTATTTCCCCCACTCCCAGTTTTTTTTTGGTAGGACGGTCTAGATGCGGCCATACGAAGCTCTTATACGCGTCAGTTCATTCGTCATTTCCCGGTGCGATGTTCTCCTCTCCTCGCGGTTCCGGTTTGTAAGGACGCCGGGTGGTTTTCCATGGGGGCGATTGGCAGTGCCCGTTTCTCATGTCGTCCAGCGCCAAAAGCACGCACACACACACACACACACACACACACCCTCTACGGAGCAAGCTAATTACAGGTGCGTCTGCCTGCAGGAGGGTCACCGCCGCCACACGACCAGAAATGACAGGCTGACCATGCTGGGCCATCACCGCCACACCTTGCGCGCGCGTCACACACACACACACACACACACACACACACACACACACGACCCAAACGGGGGGCGCGCGCGGGTGTCCTGTCAACTGGTCACAATAAACGCTTAACGACGTTGAAATCGCTTACAATCGTAACGGCGGCCGGAATGTCACCCCACCCGCAGGGACGCGCAGGGACGCCCCTGTTTGATGCATAGTGCTGCTCCTGACCTCACCCGCCGCCGCGCCTTCTCGTGCGCGCCTGTCTGTCGCTTTATCCCGAACGGCGCTCTGTCTGTCTCTCTCACACTGGTAGGGGACGCCCCGTGAGTGCGAGAGAGACAGAGCGACGCGAGCGCCGTTTCGGAATCGGCCCCGTGCACTGGCCGCGCCTGGCTGCGCTTGGCGTGTCGTCTGCGTTTACGATTTTGGCCGCGGTCCAGCCGCGCCTGCACTGCGAAAGGCCTGCATGCTGCATGCAGAGAGGCAACCTGCTGGCCCGATGCTGGCCCCTTTAACCCAACAAACAACGAGCAGGTGACAATAATGAAGCAGCGGCGGTGGCGCCGCCTGGTGGGACCGGTTCGGAATGCCCCTCCCCCTTTCCCTCCTCCCTCCCTTTCTCCCCTCCCCCGCCACCGCCTTGTCTCGCGCGACGCCTCGCGGTGCTAATCGGGCCGATTAATTACCTGGAATTACCACTCTTTTTTACCGCTACACTCTAAAATGCCTCACGGTGAAAGGCTGCGCCAAGCGAGGGGTGAATCACTAGTGTACTCATGTGTACAAATTTGCCTGTACTCAGTGTACTCACCAGTTTAAAATGGGCGAAATACTCTAGTTTTTCGACCGATTTAACGTTGAGTGCCGTTAAAAACGCTAAATAAAGCCTTAAAACGTTTTAAATTGTGAAATTTATGAGTTAACCAAGGTGTACTCACCCGTACTCATGTACTCATGTGTACACCAGAACGCTGAGTGATTCACCCCTCGGCGCCAAGCGCATTATGGTGGATGTTTTCTCGAAAAAAATCCGACAAAGTATCTGTTACGGTAGAATGAATTTTCATAGGTACAAAGCCAGCTGCACCACCAAATTTGGGAGAATTTTCATTATAACATGGACAATCTTCTCTAGCTCTCCATCATCACGCTTGACTTCAAAGCGTGAAGCTTCAAGCGTTTTTGTATGCTTGAACGAAGCGTACAACTAACTGCGCTACCAATGTAATACGTACTCCCTGACCCATAAGACTGTAGAATGTACATAAGACCGCTTTCACAGGGTGTCGTCAAATCTGTTTTGTTGTTGTTTTGTTTTCTTTTTTCCACCTCACTTCAGTACGGCGCGTGTACAGTCGCGCACAAAACGGGCAGAGAATTGAAAGAGGTTAACGCCGCTGTTTACGGGCGTTCGAGAGATCGAATACCTCGTGACGCTACTGCATTGCGGACGTAAAAACGAGACGCGCGCACTCTTTTTTATTATTTTTTATTTTCTCTTCCCGGACAAACAGTGGCCGCTCATCCTCATAACCCTGTCGGCACCGTGATCGTCATAAAACGGTGAACGACGGACAACGGGAGGCGGCGTGTTGTAAGAAGTTGTTCCGTGCGCGGAGATCGGGGAGCTGTGTCCATTAGCCTAATCCGCGCTGTTGTTGATGTTGTGCCTTCCAGGACGATTCATCGTTCATCTTCGAGATATCGAAAGGCAGACGCGGCGCGCCGAGCCGCGCTGCACTGCACTGCAACTCAAGCCGCTCCGCTCAGCTTCGCTTGCTTCGCGGCCATGTCCGTGTCCGCGCAGGACGAGCCAAAGGTAGGCACCAGAGCGCTGCATTGGTTGGTTCGGCCAACCCAATGATGCCTTCGGCTTGAGCACCAGTTCGGTTCGACCCGAACCGAAGACAGTTCGGTTCGGGTCGAACCGGGCGAACCGAAGACCCGTTCGGCATTTCGTCTCCTTTTTCGCGGTCCCTGAGAAGACGGACCCACTCGGACCGTCAGTCGGGCCAAAACCTTAGTTGGGTCGAACGACACCACTTCATTCGAAGACGTCTGCGCATTTCTGTTAACAATTTAAAAAGTAGCCGAATCCACCCGAGTGCGCCCGAGTGCGACACCGATGGTGCTGCTGCTCTGCGGCATCTCTCGGAACCTCTCGACGGTTCTTCCGAACCAACCAATGCAGCGCTCTGGTAGGCACAGCGATGATTCTAAACCTCGCTTTCTGTCTCTCTCGCTCTCACGGAGCTTTGCGAACAGGTGCGAGAGAGACAGAGCGGCGAGTGACGCTGAGTCCGCCGCTCAAGGCAGGGGGAGCAAGATGAGACGACAGATCAGCATCTCCGCGTGACGAGGGCGCGAGCTGCACGCAGACGAAGAAGAGCATCTCAGCGGCCAGAGCAAAAGGTAAATCTAACATGAATTGTCGCTCTCTATTTGCAAGTGTCTCATGCTCATTGGTCCAGATTCTCCCCATCTGATCGCCTGGCGGAAATCCTCGTTTATGCTTCATTTCTGCGTAACATTTTCAAGTTTAAGTGTAACTTATGCTTGACTCAAGCGTACAGTGAGGCTTTTAGTTTCGCCAGTGTGGCCGTTCACTTCATGACCGCCCCGTGCGCGCCGCGGTCCGATTCCTCCCAGTGTAGCCGCTCTTGGCTCGAATTTTACTCCTTAGTCCTGACCCGACCTAACCTAACATGGCACCGTTTGTGCGGGCGTGCATAAAGATGTACATGGCTTTGACGGCTGATCGCGCGGGCCGATAGGGGGCGCTGCCCTCACGGCGGCGGCGTTGCGGTGCTCGAGCCTCATGTACGTCATGGGCGTGTTGGACCTCGTGGACGTCATGCACGTCATGAATGTGAACGTCCTGGACGCGCTTTGGACGTCCTGTGTGCTTCGGACGTCCTGTGTGCTTCGGACGTCCTAGACGTTTTGGAGGTCAGACGTCATGGTCGACATTGATGTCATTGGACATCGTGGACATCGTGGAGGTCGTGGACGTCTTGGACGTTTTGGACGTCTTTGGGGGTCACGGGCGTCATAGACGTCATGAACGTTGTGGACATCGTGAACGTCGTGAACGTCGTCGACATCTTGAACATCGTGGACATCGTGAACGTCGTGGACATCGTGAACGTCGTGGACATCGTGAACATCGTGAACATCGTGGACATCGTGAACATCGTGGACATCGTGAACGTCGTGGACATCGTGAACGTCGTGGACATCGTGAACGTCGTGAACGTCGTGGACATCGTGAACGTCGTGGCCGTCATGGAGGTCGTGGACGTCGTGGACGTCGTGGAAGTTGAACGTCAAGGGCGTCATGAACGTCATGAGGAACGGCGAGGACCACCCCGCACCGTCCGGGACTCGGTCCGGGATGACCCACATCCCCGCGCACTCCAAGGCCTGCCGCGGCGCGTCTGTTCGGGACCACCGATCCATAAAAACGGCCGCCAGCAGACTGATCCCGAGGTTCGTTTTCGACGCTCTGTCTCTCTCGCACCCATACGGGACGCCCCATGAGTGCGATAGAGACAGAGCGGCCTAAACGATTCTCGGAGTCAGTCTACAGCGCGCGTAGAGTGCATGGCGCCAGCGAGAGGAGAGGGGCCTTCAAATCATAAAAGCCGCGGAAGATCCTGGAAAGCGTGCCTCAGCGCCGCGCAGCGCCCTTGGGGCCTGCACTGCACAGGGCGCCCACACTGGGGAAAATTCCAGTGATGTGGCTATTCCGCTCTGCTGCACTCAAAAAAGAAAAACTTTTATTCAATTTTAAAAAATTACTTTTCGAGTTCAAAGTTAATTTTCATGTATCAAGAAATGTTTTTCTCTAAGTGTGACTCTTGCAGAGAGTGATCTGGTCACACCCTTTTCGCCGTTTTGCGAAGGATGTTTATTTTGGTATCGACACTCCACAGACAGCTTCCAGTGAAGCCACGTTCGATCGGGCGAGCCATGAGAACCATCCCTCTTCTTTTTTTTAAAGAAAAATATGAAAAAGATGAAAAAAAAGTAAAAGAATAGCCATCGTGTGAAATGAAGGCGAGTCCGGCGATATGCGGCGCCATTGTTAAAGTCTTGCCTCACGCTGATGGATGATTCGCCGGCATTATCGGTCAGCCCCCCTCCCCCTCCCCTCCCCTCCCCCTCCTCTCCTCCTCATTCTGTTCCAGCCTTCCTGTGTGAAGCCAGCTCGTGCACTGACTGACCACAGGGTCGACTAAAGCAGCAACCATTTTTAGGGGCACCCACACAACAGTTAAGAATTTTCTTCATTGCTTATTAGAAGAAAACCCGTTAAGTTTTATCAAAAACGAGGTAATCATTTTGTCTTGTCAGTGTGTTGTGCTGCGTGTGACACGGCTGGGTGGGAGTCTCTGCAGCGCGGAGTAGCGCGGTTCAGCAGCGCCGCGCGTGGGGTATGGCCAGCCCGGCCAGCCCCTTGGACTGCAGCAGACCGATTCCGAGAGTCGTTCTCGTCGCTCTGTCTCTCTCGCGCCTATAGGTGACGCCGCATGAGTGCGAGAGAGACAGAGCGACGAAAACGACTCTCGGAATCGGTCTGCAGAGGCGCGCCGGCCAATTACCAGGTAAAACGCGTGGCGCTACACCGCGCTACACGGGCACGCCACTGGCAGGACAATGACCAGTAATAACCGGCACTTCACGCCGCTACTCGGGTTCGGCGCTCCGCGACGCCGGCCAGTGGGTGGAGTACATGACGCGCCGCGCCTTCTCGTAAAAGGGTTGACCTGCAGACTGATTCCGAGAGTCGTTTACGTCGCTCTGTCTCCCTCGCACTTATACGGGGCGCCCTATGAGAGCGAGAGAGACAGAGCGACGAAAACGACTCTCGGATTCAGTCTGGTGGCGCAGCGTTGGCCGCGCCTCGCGAAGCTATCCCGCGCTGTGGAGACCTTTATCGGCGCGGGGTATCGACCGGGCGCGCCTCACTCCACATCGGCTGGTACAGTAAAGCGCGGCAACTTTGTTGCGGGCGCGCTCACCAACACACACACACACACACACACACACACACACACACACACACACACGACACACGACACCGGCGGCGCCAAGTGTCGGCCGCGGGTCAGCCTTTAAACCGCCCAATCCGGAGAATGAACGGCGTGCTTTACTGCGCCCCCAGCTGGCCGCGATTCCGAACAGGTATGCCTTCGCCGTCGCTCTGTCTCTCTCGCGCTCGTGGGGCGTGCCGTGAGGGTGCGAGAGAGGCAGAGCGACGGTGCTCGGAAGCAGCTACACTGCAGCCCCGCGACGACGGTGGCCTCCCTCCAGCCCCTCTGGCTCTACAGCTGCTCCGGCGGCGCCCCGCTCCGTCCACTGCTGCCAACATTCGGTTTCTCAACGCGCGCCACCCACGGCGCGGCCGGTGACGCGCCGCGGCGGTGTTGGCGGCACTTTTCAATTTCGGCCGGGTCGGTGTCGATCTGCGTGGCCGAGTTTGCGGAGAGAGAGAAAGAGAGAGAGAGAGAGAGAGAGAGAGAGAGAGAGAGAGAGAGAGAGAGAGAGAGAGAGAGAGAGAGAGAGAGAGAGAGAGAGAGCTTTCAGTCCTTGTTTGTTTTGGGGTCCCGGGGGCGAGAGGCGCGTGTGCTTCGAGCAGCAGAAGGTCCGCGAGGCCGCCGAACGCGCAATTGTCTCTCCACGCTACTGTTGCCTCAAAGCGCTCGAGGCACTTAAAGGTTAGGTGAGGCGTGCTAAATGCGCTCTGAACTTGAACCCCTCGCGGACGGCCGAGAGCTTGGCGGCCCGAGGCGCGGCCGCTTGATTTACACTGGCGCGGTCGCCTTGGCGCATCGCCTTCCAGTGTGCCTCCTCGCCAGCCTTCATTAGTCCGACGTCGTCTGCCGCGTCGTCCGCGATGACTATTCGCAGAACGGCAGGGTCGACATGAGCCCCGTCCCGATTGAGCCCCGATGACCTGAGCCCCGGCAGAGCCCCGGCCGAGCCCGACTCGAGCCCCGACTTGAGCCCCAACTGAGCCCCGATGGCCAGAGCCCCGACCTGAGCCCGTTTTGAGCCCCGACCTGAGCCCCGTTTGAGCCCCATTTGAGCCCCGCGCCAAAAAGTTGCAATATCTTCACTAAAAAAGTTCAAAAATGGAAGTTTTTTGGCGTGGGGCTCAAGTGGGGCTCAAACGGGGCTCAGGTCGGGGCTCGAACCGGGCTCAGGTCGGGGCTCTGGCCATCGGGGCTCAGTTGGGGCTCGAGTCGGGGCTCAAGTCGGGCTCAAACGGGGCTCTGGCCGGGGCTCAGGTCATCCGGGCTCAATCGGGATGGGGCTCATGTCGACCCTGCCCGCAGAACAATGCGGCTCAAATGCCGGTCCGGTTGGACGCGGTTTGACTGCCGCTCTGGCTCCGCGCTGCTCTGTGTGCGAATAGTGCGAAAGGTCGCCCCAGCGTCGTCGGGGTGCTCCGTGCTCCGCGTTTCACGCTCTGCCCCGGCTGCCGCCCGGGCCGCCGGGCCGCCCAGTGGGCCAGAAGACCGGTGGGGGCGGCCAAAACTCTAGAAGAGTTTTGAGCTCCGGAGTCGTTCTTCTTACCGTTAACGAAAAAGAGAGACACTTATGTCGCAGCTGGCCACGGCAGCGGGTTACTACTTGGCTCATCACTGCAGCCCGATTCCTTGAGTCGTTTTGGAGGGGCGAGGCGGGCAAGGCCACGCCCTTGTTTCCACACGTTGTTTCCCACGCGTCGGCGCCTTGTCGACTTGCAGAGCAAGCGGAGCGGAGCGAGCGCGGCGCAGCCAAATTAAGGGGGCGGTGGCAGGAAGCGGCCGGCCGCGCCGCGCCGATGACGGGGAAGTCTTCCTCCCGGTGGCGGCGCGACGTCCGCAGTGGCCGTCTTACAGTGGGCGAGACAACCAGAGGTGGAGGTCGAAATGCCGGACGAGTTTTGAACTCAAACCGAACGTTAGACCGCACCAATCGATTTGCTCTCCGAACGAGGATTCCATTGGTGGGGTCACACGTTCGGTTCGAGTCCTGTATCGCGAAACCGGGAGCTCAAAACGCGTCCAGAGTTATGGCTGCCTGCGGTGCAGTCTTCCGGCCCACTGTGAGGTCATGGCCTTGGTGGGGAGCGCGGCGTGGAGGGCACAGCGGGGCGGCCCACCCACGCCAGATCAGGTGCGGTTCCAGGCTTCCAGGACTGTTCCAAGGACGGGATCAGGCAGTGTTTCTCGCTAACTTACAGAGGTAAAGCAGTGGTTTTTGCCTGAAGTAGTGCTTCTTCGAGTGTCAAGCAGTACTTGTTGCCTGCCTTCCTCTCTCTCTCTCTCTCTCTCTCTCTCTCTCTCTCTCTCTCTCTCTCTCTCTCTCTCTCTCTCTCCTTCTCCACTCCACCAAAACCTCAAGAAACACTAAACCTGCATGACAAAATTGTGACAAAATTCACACACCCCCTGGCCCTACTGTACTTTTCAATCCCCCCAATAAAACCAATTTTTAAACTTAAACTCTCTCTCTCTCTCTCTCTCTCTCTCTCTCTCTCTCTCTCTCTCTCTCTCTCTCTCTCTCTCTCTCTCTCTCTCTCTCTCTCTCTCTGTCTCACTCTCTCTCACACACACACACACACACTCAAAGCGTGTGCCGAAGGGCTGCGAGAGAGACAGAGCGACGACACCGCTGTGCGGCGAAAAGTTTGGGGACGCTCTGGCTGCGCTCTCGCCCTCCTGGGGGCGAGGGAGGAGGGGCTCTTAATTACACGTCTGAGTTTGTGCGAAAATAAAAAGGAATCGTGCTCGGGGGAGGGGGAGAGAGAGAGAGAGAGAGAGAGAGAGAGAGAGAGAGAGAGAGAGAGAGAGAGAAGAGCAAGGTCGGGGAACGTCGTATCGATCCGCGTCAAATTAGGACCTTTCGACGGCACGATTAAGTCGCGACCCGCTTCACGCGATTCGGCGGGGTTCGGCACGACGCGGAGGGGGAGCACTGGCAAGATAAATAGAAGGCGGGCCGACGACGCCCTGCCACGCCCCGCCCCGCCCCGCCCCCGCCCCGCCTCACCCCGCCCCGTCCCGCTCCGCCCCACCCCGCCTCGCCCCGCCCCGCCTCGCGCTTCGCGGAAGGCAGACGAGCCGCGATAGATGAGTCGACCGATAATTTGGGCCGCGCCGTGTTGTTGTTATTCGCTCCATTTTATTATTTTATTTTCGAGGCACGATCCGTTTCGTCCCAGTCAAAGGCGTCAAGGCCAGAAACAAGGAGACGGTCTCCGTAAATTTCGCAACAAAAAAAAAAGATTGTGTTTTTTTGTTTCAGTGCGTGATGCAGGATTGCAACTTTCGCACGGACCCGACATGCAGAGGCGTGGATCCAGTTGGGGGGTTGAAAGAACAATAGGGTACTTTCGTAGATCCCTGAGCCGGAAGCACACAGACGCCATGTTGGCGGAAGTAGATCCAAACTTGACATGGGAAAGAGACGTTCGTCAAAGGTATCGCCCACACTTGAACATAAACAGTCGTTTGATACTTGTTTGCAGTGCATATGTGTTTCGCGAGCAATATTTGTACAGCTCGGCTATAGTTTTGGATCCGAAGAGAGGTTAGTTTCCGGCCAATTTGGCGTCTGCTGGTCTGCTTGCTTCCGGTTCAGGATTCTACGAAAGTACCCTATTGACATCCCCTTTGTCCCCAGCAAGCAGCCTGAAAGGTAGGCCGAAAGCCACACTCTACCCCTGAAAGCAGGCAAAGAGTGCCACTTGGCCTTCTGGACAAGCAGAGGATCATTTGTGGTCCAACTACTTCAAGTGGCCACGCGTCGAGTCTGAGAACGCCGTGCGGGACGTGGGTAGGCAGTCCCGCAGACACGCCTGCGTCCGGGATGCCTACCTCCCAGGCGACCCATTACCATTACCACTACGGGCTACCACACATGATCGTATGCCGTTTCGGGCCCGACACAAGCTCGCCTGCACTGCAAAACACGCCGAGGCGATACCCCGCGACGGAGAGTGGACACTGTGAGGGTCATGCGGCACCCGCACAATGGGCCAGAAGACCGCTGGAGGCGGCCAAAACTCCAGACGCGTTTTGAGCTCGAGAGTCGCTGAATTGGACTAGAATCGAACGTGTGACCTCACCACTGGATTGCTCTCCGAACGAGGAATCCATTGGTGGGGTCACACGTTCGTTTCGAGTTCCATTTAGCGACTTTAGAGCTCAAAACGCGTCTAGAGTTTTGGCCGCCTCCACCGGTCTTCTGGCCCACTGTGCGTCGAGCCGCGAGCCCCGCGCGTCGACATCTGCCGTCCACGCCGATTCGGCCGCCTGTTTTAAACGCCGCGTCCCCACCGCGGGGGGTCCCCTCCTCCCCTCCACCCTAGACGCCCCCGCGCCCCCAGCGTTCCCTGGCAAAAAGGCGCATATTAAATTTAATAAATAATTAATTTGTAATTAATTAATTTTTTATTAGAGTTGACTTTAATTAAATTTTGTTAAATGCTAATTAAATCTTGTTAGTGGCCAAGAATAGAGCTATCTATGAACACGAATAGACTAATTAATAGGTCAGGCTGAAATGAAATTTAATTATTTTTAATATGTGAATAATAAGTTTTAATTATATTTAATTAAATTTATAAGCGCTAATTAGAGCTTTATTAAGCTGTAGTTTAATTAAAACACATATGATTTAATTAAATCCCTACCCACGTTAATGAAAATGTTGCATACCAGTAAGTCAGTCAGTGTTGAGATCTGCTATTTGAGCGTGAGACGGCATTCTCCATGGCCGCCCAACTCTCCAACACTTGTGTGTCAGAGGCAAGTCTAAAAATCACATCGCACTTCCTTGAGCGCGATGGAGGAGAGTGAATAGCCTGCGCGACTAGTGCATGTGGCGATGTGAGTCAACACCGCGAGCTAAGGGACTAAAGTAGACCTCAGCGCCATCTAGCGGCGGACAGACTTTTATTAAACTTAATTAAATCTTGCAGGGGATAACACCAAGTTCCTTAACATATGGCAACACCTACTTACTCGTGAGAGGATTTAACGACGAATATGACTCGACACTCTTGTTTGTCACCGGACTTTTCAAAGAAACCTTTGGCGAAATCACACTTAACATTAACTACATAAAGTCTTTATTAAAAATGATAATAAAAGCTAATAAATGTTTATTAAACCCTCTTTGTTAACAAGTTTTAATCAACATTTAAAACCTTTTATAAACGGTACTTGTTAAAATTAATTAAAGTCAATAAGCACGCGTGATAAAATTAATTAAAACACAGCCCCTAATAAAAAATTAATTAAGAATTTATCAAAATTTATTAAATGTTAATAAAAGTTTTTTACGAGGGTTGGGAACCGGGCCGCGAGCTGGCGAGCACTGCAAGTGCAGGTACAGCGCCCGCCGCTCTGGATGCGACTTTTCGCCGAGAGAGGGCGCCACGGCCTCCATGTCGCGCTGCTCGCGACCGCCGTCCTCGGCGTCCGGCAGACTGATTCCGAGAGTCGTTGTCGCTGTCTCTCTCGCACTCACGAGGCGTTCCCTGTAGGTGCGGTGCGAGAGAGACAGAGCGACGACAACGACTCTCGGAATCAGACTGCAGCTCGATCAAGACGTCGTCGGCGAGGGGCTCCGCTTGTTGGCGGTTGTGGCAGATTTAAACTTCCCCGCAGACAAATGGGCCGAATTGGCTTTGCCCGTCACGGGCATGGCGGCCCGGCTCGGCGGCTCGCACCGCGCTGCTGCAGAGCGCTGCGCCCATAAATTAAATGGTTGACATTTTCTCGGCAACGCGGTGGCGGCGCGGCGGCGGTGCGGGCGCTCGGCGTGTCATGTCGCCGTCGATGCTTTACACCGCGCTGCAGCGCCGAACTTCGTCGCGCTGTCTCTCTCGAACCCGTCCCGGCTGCCTCATGAGTGCGAGGGAGACAGTGGGACGCTGTTCGGGTTGATTTGCGGGCGCCGCTATCCCAACCGAGACAAATTAGTTATTTTGGCGCCCGCGCGTCCGAGCCGTCCGACGGCGTCCTGGACGGTTTCGGATGGACGGCGCGCACAGTTGGCCACAACGGTGGAGCCGGTCATATTTTCGGATAGGTTTTGAGCTCTAGAGTCGCTAAATATGACTCAAACCGAACGTGTGACCCCATCAATGGAATGCTCTCCGAACGAGGAATCCATTGGTGGGGTCACACGTTCGGTTGGAGTCTCGTTTAGCGACACTGGAGCTCAAAACGCGTCTGGTGTTTCGGCCGCCTCCGCCGGTCTTCTGGCCCACTGTGCGGCGCCGCCCCCGGCCCGGGGGTCCGGCGTGGGGATCGCGTCGAGGCTGCGGCGCATCCATCTTACCAGCGGACACCTGCCCGCGCCCGTCGGCCTGCCTGCCTTCATTCTTCATAAAACGACCCCCACTGGAAGGAAATCTAGAGTAGCATGTGGCGGCCTGGCGCGGCCTGGCGGGCGGGTACTCCACTCGGCGAAAGGAGTCGACCCTGCCCGACGGTGGCGCTGCTGCCGCTGCACTGGGATGCGATTCCGTAACCTCTGCCGGGGGTCGCGGGCGACGCATACCCAGAGAGTGCACCGCATCCGCCCCCTCCCTCTTTTTTCCAATCTCCTGGCACGGTGACAACCATCTGGATTTGAGAAACAAATCATCGCGGCGCACTCGCGCGGCCGATACTGCCCGTCGTGAATCCTCGTCGCGGAGGTGTTCAAGGCCGCCGCCGTGCCGCCCGTCCCGTCGCCCGTGGAGGATGGCCTGGTCCGGCTGGGCGATACCCCGCGCGCAGAGTACCCGCCGCCGGGGCGGGTCACAGTGGGCCAGAAGACCGGTGGAGGCGGCCAAAACTCCAGACGCGTTTTGAGCTCCAGAGTCGTTAAATGGGACTCGAACCGAACGTGTGACCCCACCAATGGACTCCTCGTTCGGAGAGCAATCCATTGGTGGGGTCACACGGTCGATTCTAGTCCTATTCAGCGACTCTGGAGCTCAAAACGCGTCTGGAGTTTTGGCCGCCTCCACCGGTCTTCTGGCCCACTGTGCGGGTGCCGCATGACCCTCGCAGTGTCCACTCTCCGTCGCGGGGTATCGCCTCGGCGTCGTGACCGCCTCGCCTTTTCTCTCCGACTCTTGAATCTTGACTCTTGACAGTGCCGAAATTGATTCGGGCCAAAACGGCGCCGCGTTCATCACCGGCCCATCCCCGCCTTGCGCAAGCCTTGCCCGCCGACAGGCACGTGTCCGCAGTCCGCCGTCCGTCCACTCACCAAGTCGTTTTCGTCGCTCTGTCTCTCTCGCACCCAAACGGGACGCCGCACGAGTGTGAGAGAGACAGAGCGACGAAATCAACTCTCGGGATCAGTCTGCAGCACGCGCCGAAACGCGGCGAATACGGGCGGTGGCGAAACGACAACACGCAGTGTATAGACGCAGCGCCACGACGTCCACGAAGTGTAGCACCTTGCCAAACCTGCCCGCCGCCCCACGCCGTTGTCCGCAGTGCGCGGCCGCCCCGCCGCCCACTCCCAGCAGCGTCCGGCCGGGTCCGATATGATTTCGAGAGGCGTTTTCGTCGCTCTGTCTCTCTCGCACTCATGGGACGTCCCATGGAGGTGCGCTAGAGACGTAGCGACGAAATCGACTCTCAGAATCAGTCTGCAGGCCGCCAAGACCCCCGGCGTCGCGGTGGGACGGGGACGGAAGTCATATCTAGCGACACCGCCGCCTGGCGCCGGGTGACGTGCTCCGCCCCATGATCGACTGTCTGGACTCGCGGACAAACGGTCGCGGGGGCCTCACGCCTCGTCGGTCCTTCACGCCGAGGCGGGGCGGGGCGGGGCGGGGCGGGGCGGGGCGGGGCGGGGCGGGGCGGGGCGGGGCGGGGTGGGGCGGGGCGGGGCGGGGCGGGGCGGGCGCAGCGCGCCACCCGTTCTGCCCTGACCGACCGACCGGCCGACCTGTCAGTTTTGTAAGCGGGGCAATATCATGCGCGCTGCGCGCTGCGCCCGGCCGGGGCAGACAGGCAGCCATCTCGCGCCGAACACGAGCAAGGCATCGCGGAGCTGTTAAATCCAGCGCGCTTTGTTCGAGAATGCACGCGCGCCCCGTCCCGCCCCGCCCCGCCCTGCCCTGCCCCGCCTCGCCTCGCCTACTTAGTCGCTATTACGCCGAGGCGCTTGGAGCCCGCCGCCCCCGCCGAGTACCCGGGCCTTCCCTCGCACCCCATCCAGTGCACCGTCATCCCGACCGGCCCCGACATCTCCATACAGTGCGGGCCCGGCGGCCGCAATGCGAGCCCCCGCTGGGCCGCGGGCGCATCGCGCTCGCTCGGCAGCGGACTGATTCCGAGAGTCGTTGACGTCGCT